CCCATATGCTGTTTACTGCAGCAGTTGAGCTTTACACAGGATGAGACATATTGCTAACATCTCTGATAGCAAACATGATAAAATTCAAGCCTAAAAGTTGATGCATAAGACACTGTAAAAGTTATTCTCTTTCTTTATGTATGAAATCCAGCAGAACCACTATACTGTTAAAACCAGAAGAATGGAATAAAATAGAATCATTTTGTGGCCTTCCCAATCTGCAGTGCTTTAAACCAGAAATGGGCAATTCATAGCTGTAAAAACTGTTTTCCCACCTATCAGGCAGCAGATCACTCAGCAGATTCCTATTTTATGCTAATGGTTGGGGGGGAAACCAATTATGTTGAGGAAGGAGGGAAAAAATTGAGAAGGAGAAAATAGCCTTCTTTCCAAAAGTCTCTGTAAAGTCACAACACTTGTTATTTAGTAAAGTTGAGCAGCATCTGTGAGCTGGCACAGCATAAATCAGGGATCTTCAAACTTGGCCCTTTTATGACTTGTGGACTTCAACTCCCAGAATTCCTCAGCCAGTGTGCCTGGCTGAGGAATTCTGGGAGTTGAAGTCCACAGGTCATAAAAGGGCCAAGTTTGAAGACCCCTGGCATAAATCTTCCTTTCCCAATTTCCCATAGTGTAAAACCAGCAATCTGAAAGTTGCATCACATGGGGAAAGGCAAAAGTCTTTTTGCTTCTCTATTCTGTTCATTGACCATATGCCCAACAAGAAAAGGGCATATGTGTATGTGTGTTTGAGAGACAGTGGTTGCATATAAGTAGGTAATGATCTCCAGTCAGTAATCCCTATAGCCATTGGAGCCATAAAAGTTTGTCCAGCCACATCTGAACCTAACATTCCATTTAGCTCTGAGGCACATAATATTTTATGTGTCATCCATCTCATCTTATTCAACACTGGAAGTTTTTAAAAAGAGACTGGACAACCATTTGTCTAAAATGGTATAAGCAGTGCTTTTTTTGAAGAAAAAAAAAAAGGTGCCGGAACTCACACGTTATATAACCCGCCTTGCCTACCCTACAAGGTTCCATCCAAAAAAGGTGCCGGAATTCCGTTCTGGGCGTTCTATGACAAAAAAAAGCCCTGGGTATAAGATTTCCTGCCTGAGCAGTGGGTTGGAATAGAACAGGGGTGTCAAACTGCCGGCCCATGGGCCGGATGCGTCATGCCGAAACCGTGTCCACCACAGCTCCGGCAATGGGGAAAAAGTTACGATACATCACGATACGTCATGTCGTTGTGAGGTTGACACTCCTGGACTAGAAGACCTCAAAGGTCCCTTCCAACTCTATTATTGTTATTATTGTTGTTGTTGTTATTATTATTATTATTATTATTAATCATCATCATCATCATCATCATTATTGTTATCATTATTATTATTATCATCATTATCATCATCATCCATCTCATCATGTCTTATTCACTACAGATGGTTTCCAAAACTGATTTGTTTCTTATAGTTAGAAGGGAGTGTGTGTGAATATGCATGATTATGCCTAAATGGGTGAATAAAATACTAGGTCTAGGTTGATATCTTTCTCAAACAATTGCATATTACCTTAGAGCATCAAGAATCATTGGTTGATCTTTGGTTGATGCAGAAACAGAGATAGTTAAATTTACCAAATGCACTATGAATCATATACCTCCCTTCTCATTTGTTTTGTACTCCTGGATTAATGACCTGTAAATGTCAATTTGTCTGAGCCTCATATTAGAAACCTCATCCTCCCTGCCCCGTTTTGTATTCAGACTGATGGTTTATACTCACTACTGACCACTAGGGGGACTATGCAACCAGTTTTGTTTTTATTGGAATTCATCAGCCATAGATAACCCCTAGGTTAGATCTCAGTACACTCAACTTTTTTATTGGGATTTGAACTTGCCCACCTGAGGTGAATTCACCAATTTGCTAAATGTTTCAAGTTTGTTTAATTTTTAATACCGGGTTGTAACCATTCTTGAACTTTTGAAAAGGGGGGGGGGGGGTGAAGATGTTTGCAACTTCCAGGAAATTCTACCTTTTTTTATTACGAACTTAGAGAAGAAAGTAAAGAATACCTTGAATTGAAGACTGCATTTAGGAAGTCTTCTTGGTAATTTTAATTGGATTGCCACTGCCTTTTTCCAGAATGTTCTTTCAACTTCTCAGTTAACCAGAGGCCTGGGCACTTCGGGGGAGGTGGTTCCTTTTTCAACCTCTACAAACCCGAGCAGGCCCTTATGAGATTCTTTTATATTAGTCATTGTCAGTTCTTGTGACTATAAAGTGCCCTGCTACTGAATTGCTTGTTTCCTGCAAGAACAAGCTCTGGTGCCCATGACTTGCCTTTAAAAAAAAAAAAAAACCTGGCAGATTTGTTAGCACCAATTGTATCTCTATTATTAGGATGGAAGAGAGAGTGTTATGACAGCTGGATATCACTCAGCATATTTGCAAATACCTATTACAGTATAAGGATGTGATTGCATTTGCTAATACATCTCACCTGGCCCATGCTTTTACTGTTCATTTTCTTTAGACTGACAAGAAGGACCCCCAAGGGAACAGCACAGTCTCGGGATTTGAAATTCTTTTGCAGAAACAACTGAAAGGAAAGCAAATGCAGAAGGAAATGGCAGAGTTTATTCGAGAAAGGTAACTTAGAAACTCAGTAATGAGCTAAATTGACTCCGTTGGGATTTGGGTTTATGTTTCCGGTGGTGAAACTCCTGATTCTATCAATTTACAAGTCTACTGGAACATTTTCTGTAAAACACAACTAATACTCAGAGATCTGACAGCAAATGCAAAGATGGGCTTGTTACCTTTTTTATTCTAATAGTTTCATGTATATATTTATTGATGAAATGTATACAGATAGTTCTCGACTTACATCCATTCATTCAGTGACATTCAAATTACAACAGGGGGCTTACAATTATCACAGCATCGTGAGGTCATGGGGTTACCATATGCAATTTTCCCTACTGGCTTCCCATAAGTAAAGTCAATGAAAAAACTGACAGAAGTTGCAGGTGTCTCCTGCTGGGTTTTTTTCCTGAATAGTCCCTAATGGCAGGGGGAATCTTGTACTCCATACCGCCCATATGCACTTGTGCCTGCCTGCACTCTATAGTGCCACACACACTTATACCCACCTATAGCATCCATTTATACACTTTCCTGCACCTGCTTGCACCTGTGGATCCCACGTGTGCCTGCCTGTAGCATCTGTCTGCCCAGCTGCCTTTACTTGGTCCTGCCCACCCACACTTCATGGCTTCCACCCATTCGTAGCTCTCACCCATGGGCCTGCTTGCGAGCCACCTAAGAAGGAAAGACTTGCTAAGTATTCTTTACTTATCAACAGCAACAGGGGTTTGTCAAGCAGTTTGGTCACATTGTGCTTTATGACCATATAAGTTAGTGGCAGAAATTCCAGTCCCAATTACCGTTGTAGCCCTAGGACGGGCAGACAACCTTGGCTCTTTTATGACCCGTGGACGTCAACTCCCAGAACTCCTGAGCCAGCATGGCTGACTCAGGAATTCTGGGAATTGAAGTCCATGAGTCATAAAAGAGCCAAGGTTGCCTGCCCTAGGACTACCTGCCTCAATCCAAACAGACTCTATGTCAGCGGTTCTCAACCTATGGGTCACGACCCCATTTGGGGTCGATCGACCATTTCACGGGGGTCGCCAAGCAAGGCTGTCCGCCATTTTTTTTGTCCACCATTTTTCCCCCCTTTTCCGGCGGGTGCCTTACCTCCCTTGGGCTGGGCCAGCTGGTGGTCGGCCTTGCCAGCTACGCCTCAGCCGGCGCAGGGGGCAGAACCCCGAGCAGGGAAAGTCCTCGACTTACGACCGGTTGGGTAGTCCTCGACTTACGACCGGTTTAGACCTCGACTTACGACCGGTTGGGGTTCGCAGCATTAAAAAGGTTGAGAACCACTGCTCTATGTGGTTTACAACATATATATAATAAAACATAGTAGTATAAAATAATAAGTTATAAAATAGAATCAATGTCCTTATAATAAAAAATAATACAGGGTTCCAGAATCAGTCCTGAAAAGCCCTCTAGAAAAGCCAGAAAGACTGTACGAGTAAGGATGACCCAGAGTTGTCTTGAGGGTTTCATAGGAGGGAAGCTGTCATAGAGAATGTCCACCTGCAGGGCCCCTCCTGTCACGCTTCCTAGAGCCCAAGAGTCCTGAGCAGATATTCTGTGATTGGCAGGATCAGGTGGGCAGTCTCTGAAATATCTGGACTTTAAGCCGTTAATGGGTTTAAAGATAGCAACCAGTACTGTGAATTGTACTTGGAAGCCAATCCATCTCCAACAGCAATGGAGTTAAGATAGCAATATCAGGATGGACTAGTGAGATGTGAGTTGCTGCATACTGGACCAGCTGAAATTTCTGGGTGGTCTTTAAAAGCAGCTACATCTTCAACAAATTACAGCCGTCATGTGTAGAAATATCTACACATATATATATATACAGAAAGATATCTACAGTGAGAAAACAAACAAAACATTTTTTCTATGTAGCAAAATATCAACAGTCAAAACTTTATATCAACAGAAATATGCCAAGAGGGACTCTTAAGAAAAATGTAGTCTCTTCAATTAATCATACCAGTCCCTATCCCCATATTGTTCTGAGGGGCCTTATTCTGATTTCCAGAGAGTGCAACAATTGCAATAGAGAGAGGAAATTTCCTTGGTAGGAATTTCACTTTCAGGAGCTCTTTTTCATAATGTCATTGCTCCAGACTGGATGGATTAAAATCTATGTTACCTCAAGTGGTTCTTTAATACGAAAACAGTTCTTATAATTACTAAGGACCCATTTAAATATTTGCTACAGAAAGAGAGGAGTACAATTTGCTTGAGTTCATTCTGAGTCCAGATGAGTCATGCTTCTTGCTGATTTTGACATATCTCAGAAATCTCCCCCCCACACACACACACACCTCCCCCCAAATGCTCCCATTAGCTCTGGTAGTTTAAATAACTTAAAACGTCTGTGTGACATGGAAGGATAAACCAAGAGAGAAAGATAAACAGTTATTATTTATAGCTGCTCATTATTTATAATTTTTCTTTTAAAAAGAGCATTCTTCTAAATCGTTTTCCACATAATAATAGGAGGGAGAGCAACTTGCAAGTGGTGATTGGAACATTCTGTTCCATGAATGGACTTGTCTCACTGATCAGAGAAAAAAAATAGAAGGGCTGCTTTAGTTCATTTCCTACAATTATGCTTTGGTGAATTAATAGTGAAATGCTCTCATGACTCAATGGAAGCTTTTAAGTATAAAAACTGTTTAGCATCCCTTTGACAAAATGTGGGCATCAACAATTTTTCACTCTTCAGAGCACAGGAAATGTTATTTAGCTTGAAATCTGGGTGTACTTTCTGAACCTTGTAAATCTAAGTTTGCTTTGCTGTTTGTTCCTTCCTTGTGCATGCAAGGACCTTTTTGACAGACAGTGGAAATTTTGGAATGGGTAAATACAAATCTTGTGCATTAATTTAACAGTCATTCTATTCCTCTCTCTTTCTCAGATGACACTGCTTTATTAACTGAGGAACAATTACCACTAACAAAAGAATATAGGATAGCAATAGCACTTATATAGAGTTGTGATTATAATCCATGTGTGTAGTGAAATTATTAAATTATCATTAATTCTCTTGGCAAATATTGTGGGTAAAACTATAAATATATAAAAATATAGGTTCCAAAGAGGTGAGTAGCTAAATGTACTGTATTTTATTATAATTGCAAGTTACATTTCTAATACATAATAGCTTTGGGCTGATGTCACTGGTGGTTTTTTCCCCCCAGAATAAAAATTGAAGAAGAATATGCCAAGAACCTATCTAAACTATCACAGAACTCCCTGGCTGCCCAGGAAGAAGGGTAAATACACATTTTTGAATTCTAATTGCCTGTCTGCTCTAGATTACAGTCTGTTGATTTTTTTAAAAAAATAAAAGTTAGTTTTAAGCCTAGTACTGCAAAATTCATTTATTAATACTGAGGGTTGGGTGATATTTTTCTAAAGATATTCATGATTATATCTTCTATTTGAATTCAAATAGGAGCATACATTTAGAGAGAGAGTTACTGAGAGTAATGTTAAACGTTGTGCTTTGGCTAATAGCTAATCCTATTAGCGGTGGTAATGATGAGTTTCAGATCCTAATGAAGAAGTGCATTTCTTAACTAACCAGGCTCATGTATTGCAGGACACTTGGCGAATCCTGGTCTCAACTAAAAAAAAGCATGGCTGATGAAGCAGAGGTTCATCTTAAATTTTCCTCTAAGGTATCAAATCATTTCCTCTAAAGTGTCAAATGTAAGGTATCAAATCGTGTTTTTATGGGCCTGAGATTGCCTGGTTTATGCCAGAGTGTGGATATGGGACCACTTGTTCGAGGATCCTTCCAACTGTGGGCATGATCTATACCCAGGGCAGGGAACCTTCCTTCTGCTGAGGGTTACATTCTCTTTGAAACAAGCAGTGGGATGGAAACATCCGTTCTCAAGCAACTCATCTTTTTTTCTTCCTGAGCCTCTTTTGTTTGCTCCCAAGCAGGAAGAAGGGACAGATAGTTATTTCTAAAAGTCTTACTTGAACTTTTGCATATGGGAGTTTAAAATTAAGCCAAGAGCTGGGTAAAATTAGCACATGTGTTCCTATAGCTTCACGTTGTTCATTCCTGATCCAGACAAAATTTCATTCCCAAAAGTTATTGGTTGCAATAGAATAAATTGAAGAATGTGGTAATGTTTATCAGTGATTGGACAATATCATTTCTTCAGGTTTTCCCCCCCAAAGCTAATATCCTAGTGCTCATAAAAGATATTAATAGTAGTATAGGTAGTAGTAGTAGTAGTAGTAGTAGTAGTAGTAGTAGTAGTAGTAGTAAGAACTGGCTACTTATTAGGTAAGTGACTTCTCCTGCTTTCATCATCACATACAAGATTGCACTCTCAGTATTTTATAATTTGATGATATTTGGACAAAGACCTAATAAATAGCCATGTATTGATTCAGTTTGGATCGTAGCTCATTTACAGTTAAGAAAATAACTGATTCCTCTCTGAAATGCTGAAATTTCTATTTCTTAGGCTATCCTAAGTGGCAGGAATCAAATGAACTGTATCCTAATAGCTCATTTTTGGTTTCAGAATTTGCAATCCCTTCCCCCATCCCTTCAACATAGAGACAGAAAATGTATATCTATATCTCATTATAGAAGTGACAACTGCCTTGAAATCTTCAGGATTTTCTTCTTCCTCTCTTTTGTTTTGAAGTGTTTGCTTCACACAGATATCTGAGCATCAAAACAGATATGAAATCCATGATCCACTTAGCTTTTTTCTACTTTTCAGCACTTTCCAGTTCTTCCTCCCATGCAAAAGGGATGGCGTTTTCTTCAGGTTAACTTCAAGTCCGGATAACTTCAGGCACCTGTCCATGTAGTTTTCTTGACAGGAGGATAGAAATAGCTTGGCCTTTTTTTAAAAAAAAACAAACCTCTCTTGTTTAGTTTATATTACTGGTATTTCCTGGATTTTAACTACAAACCAATCTTACTCATTTTTATTAGTTTTTAGCCAAGATTGGTTATTGCTACCCCACAATGGGTAGAAACTAAATGGCTCTAATATTCAAAAAGGAAGAAAGAATTCCTCCCATTTCTCTTAGTCTAAATCAAAGTATTTCTCCCCATTTCCCCCCTCCCCCCAGTTCCTAGCATCTACAACTTCTTAAACCATTTTTTCTTTTTTCTCATTTATGCCAGCTTCAGACAGAAGTGGAGAAACCGCTACTCAATTTCCGTGAAAACTTCAAGAAAGATATGAAAAAGTATGACCATCATATTGCTGATTTGCGAAAACAGCTGGTTAGTAGGTATGCAGCAGTGGAAAAGGTAAGAATTTCTCATATATAAGGCAAACTGTTATGCATGCTCAAAAACTTGCCATAGAAATCCTTGTGGATGGATGGATGGATGGATGGATGGATGGATGGATGGATGGATGGATGGATAGATAGATAGATAGATAGATAGATAGATAGATAGATAGATAGATAGATAGATAGATAGATAGATATTTGAAAAAAAATAGTGTGTATGTAAGAAAAATATGATTCTTCAAGTTGTAAGCCATGACTCCAAGTGGTCTGATTGGCCATACTAGTGGAGTGACAGTCACCCTGGGAAGAAAAGAAAGTGCCAGCATAGAGACAGGAGGGCAAGATTATTTATGCCATGCTGTCTAGTCTATATTCTATGTCCTAACTTCCAGCAGAAGATGCTGTCCTATAAACAATACTGAATATATTTAATTACTAGTTTAGTTTAGACAACTTTGATAAGTGAAATGAGTGGCTCAATAATTTTATCCTTTGCTTCTGCTGGCAGAAGGTCCTGAAAAGAACCAGATTGTGGAAATATAATGTAACCTATGCAGCAATGTTTTAAACTGACTAAATAAAATAGGATTCCAAAGAATAGCAATAGCATTTAGACTTAAATATCATCCACAAGGCTTTACAGCACTCTCTGGGCGGGTTGCAATGTCAGCATTATTTGCATATTGCCCCTAACAATCTGGGTCCTCATTTTACTGACCCACAGAAGGATGGAAAGCTGAGTCAATCTTGAGCCCCATCAGGATCGAACTCCAGGATGTGGGAAGAGTTTTTTTTTTGCAATACTGCACTTAACCCTTGTGCCACCAGGGCTCCTCAATAGTGTTGCCCAGATACTCCCTATTTGTATACCTTTTGTGTACTGGTAGTACTTTGGTTCCTAATAGTTTGGTGCTCAAGATCTCATCCAAGAGATAGCGCGCCTGTTCATTTTCTTGATGTTCTAGCTACAAAACTCATAGCGCACACTCTATTGTTGCAGTGATTTAGTCTGTGAAAGAATAAATCTTATAGAAAGGAAAAGACAGATAGATATTTCTTTCTGTGGAGAAATTTATGACTCTTGGTTTGTTTCAAGGCTCGAAAAGCATTAACAGAGAGGCAAAAGGATTTAGAGATGAAAACACAGCAGTTGGAGATAAAACTGAGCAACAAGACAGAAGAGGAAATTAAAAAGGCCAGGCGGAAGTCTACTCAAGCTGGTGAGTATATGTAGAATGAGGACACTATGTGATAAAGAGACACAGAAACAAGGAAATTTGAATGTCAAAGGGAAATGGGGTATAAAAGGCCTTCTATTGATTCAGCTAGGAAGAAGAGCACGGTTCGTTAAATTTTGGCATTGATCAAAACTGCATTCTTTAATTTTTTATCTATATTTTGTCTGATAAACTGTATTTGCAATACCAGTTTGGACCTTCTGGCCTTGTTGATCCTGTTTCCAGGATTTAGTTCCTTTGTAGTAAAGACCATTATCACTACCCCATACTTTCATTCTTAAGATACATGTAAGGAAATTAAGGAAAAGTAGCCAGTATTAGAGGACATGAGTCCAGCACATTCTTTAGTTGGGTTGGACCATCCCTTATACCTCCAGACAGCAAGGCCTCCTTTGTCCTATCAAATGGATTTCAGAGTCTCCAAACTCTCTATATAAGAAATAACTACATCTCTACAGAAATAGAGCACAACAATGATAAAAACTGTCTTGAATGCATTTGGGTCAATATAAAAGGGGAAAAAATGACATTGCCATAGGTGTATACTACAGACCACCCAACCAAACAGAGGAAATAGATGAACTTTTTGCTAGTCAGCTAACTAAGGTATGTAGGAAGTACATCACAATAGTAATGGGGGACTTTAACTACCCTGACATCAACTGGGACACAAACTCTGCACCAAGTGGAAGATCAAACAGGTTCCTGGCAAACCTAGCAGACAACTTTGTCTCCCAAAAAGTAGAGAAGGGAACTAGGGGATTAGCCATTTTGGATCTAATTCTCACTAACAGAGATGAAATGATAGAAGGTGTTGAAGCCATAGGAACCCTGGGAGGAAGTGATCATGCAATATTAGAATTCAACATTATGGAAGCACAAGCAATAGAACACAGTCAAACTAGAGTCTTGGACATCAAGAGAGCTAATTTCAATAAACTTAAGAGAGGGTTTGGGAAGGATTCCATGGATGAGAATCCTCCAGGGGAAAACAACTCAAGAAGCTTGGGAAATTTTAAAAAGTGAGATAATAAAAGCCCAGTCTAGCACAATACCAACAAAGAGGAAAAATAACAGCTCTCAAAAGAAACCAGCATGGCTGCACAAAGAACTCTCTGCAAATTGAAAGATAAAAAGGACAAGTATAGAAAGTGGAAAGAGGGGCACATAACTAAGGCAGAATATTAGCAAATAGCCCGAGCCTGCAAAGATGAAGTGAGGAAAGCCAAGGCTCAAAATGAACTAAGGCTTGTGACCAAAGTCAAAAATAACAAAAAAGCTTCTTTCAACATGTAAAAAACAAGAAAAAAGTGAAGGAAATGATTGGTCCATTAGTGGGTGAAAGTGGCAAGAAGGTGACAAGCAACAGGGAGAAAGCGGAACTATTTAATTCGTTTTTTGCATCTGTCTTTACACAAAGGGAAAAAACAGACCAACCTATCAAAAGTAGTGCCATAAAAAACAGAATAGAAACACAAGTTAAGATAGGCAAGAAAATGGTAAGTGAGCACCTGTCCAGCCTAGACGAGTTCAAATCGCCAGGACCAGATGGATTACACCCCATGATTCTCAAGGAACTGGCAGATGTGATCTCTGAACCACTGAACTATATTTTTCAAAGATCCTGGAGCACAGGGGAACTACCAGAGGACTGGAAAAGAGCTGATGTAGTTCCCATCCTCAAAAAAGGAAAAAAAATGGACCCAGGAAATTACAGACCTATCAGCCTGACCTCAATACCTGGGAAGATCCTGGAAAAGATAATCAAACAACGAATCAACGANATCCTGGAGCACAGGGGAACTACCAGAGGACTGGAAAAGAGCTGATGTAGTTCCCATCCTCAAAAAAGGAAAAAAAATGGACCCAGGAAATTACAGACCTATCAGCCTGACCTCAATACCTGGGAAGATCCTGGAAAAGATAATCAAACAACGAATCAACGAACACCTAGAGGCAAACAAAGTCATTACTAAAAGCCAATATGGGTTTGTCAAAAATAGATCATGCCAGACAAATCTTATTGCATTCTTTGACCAAGTGACAAAATTAGTGGATGAGAGGAATGCTGTGGACATAATTTACTTGGACTTCAGTAAGGCATTTGATAAAGTACATCACAACCTACTACTTGACAAGATATTTCTTAAATTAATTGAATCATGAACATTTTGGTACTTCTAGAGATAAATCTATTTAAAGTTCTTCCCTTTTTCATGTATTTATTTGAATTGTGTGACAAACAGAATTGGAGCTAGCCTTTACATTTTTCAGTTTAAAATTTCTTATATTTTCTTTTATAAAAATTTTACTGTTTGCATCGTACAGTAGATGGCAGGAGAGATAGTCAAATTATCGCCTAAGTCAACTTTGCTATAAAATGTATGTATTTAAATACAATTAATATAGGCCCTGCTGTTCTATTTCAGTGCAGAATTTATGACTCATTGAATTACTGGGTTAGAAAGAAACAAGCATACAGAAGCCACTGAAAAGTGTGTTTCTTTCAGTCAGCAAAATTGTCAGTAGGCAAACCTGTGTGAAGATTCATCTACTCTTGGTTAAATTATCCTTCCATTTGGTTTTCTGATGTGTGCCTCTGTTTACAGCTGCATGCAAAGTTTATTTACTGCTGGTCAAATTGCATGTTTCATTGAATCCTGAAGTGAAAAGAAGTTGACACAGGTGCTACATCCAAATTTAAACAAGAAATCTTTCTGCAAATCTGAACACATCCTTATTATTTATGTGCAATTCTGCAAGATAGAGTGGGAAGAAATTTCAAAAGACTCTTAGTTGGCTACAGGAAAAGTTTGGAAGTTGCTGTTTCTGCTCAAGAAGGTGTTATAAAGTACTGACTAGCTGTTTCATTATTTCAAATTGGTTAAACCACTGCACACAAATAGGCAGTATGCAATCAAATTGCAGAAGGATTTTATATTTAACTTCCAGGTGGAAGCTGTATCACCTCTGTTCACCTAAGCATTCTTTGATGTGTATAATTTGATCACTAGTATATAAACTTTAGAGTGCAATTTATAAATTGGAATTTCCAAAGGAAGGAAACAATATTTTTTCATTTGTAGTCAATTATATTTTTTCATTATACTTTGGTCAGGGAAACCTATGGAGATTTCCCTAAAGGGGGGAAAAGGGTAGACAATAATAGAACTGAAGTTTGTTTCTTCATCTTCTCTTAAACATTCTTAATATGAAGTTAATGAGACATGCCAACCAACCAGCTTTGCAGTATGTTTCTTAATGACTTTCTCACTTCTACTGAGGATGAAGAGATTGGTTTTTGCTCTTTTCTTAATTAATTTGAATTAGCTACTAGGGCTGGGTAATGCGGCGCTTCACACTGAAAGGCAGAAAAGTGTTTTGATATGCATGAAGGTAATTATGTAATACCTGGCTTGTCACATAGAATTTAATTTAAAGCAGCAGCTTCTTTCACTGAAATTGCGCAGTTGCCCTGCATAGCTGCAATACAATCCCAGGAAAGATTAAAAAGTAAAATCATAATTGCACTGATATTAATAGTAAGTAAAGCACCCTTTGGGTAGGTGAATGAATTACAGGAAGAACTCACATGATGGCTTGGGGAATTTGTTTTTCTAGGAGATGATCTCATGCGCTGTGTGGATTTGTATAACCAAGCTCAGTCAAAATGGTTTGAAGAAATGGTAACCACCTCTCTGGTAAGTTAAATTTTAGCTTCATCCTTCATATTTCAGAAATAAGGTGGGTTTTTTTCCCACCTTGAGTGGAATTACATATATTAGCCCATTTTTATATATAACGCGTGTTTCCAATTCTGAAATCCCTGTTCTTGATTTTTTGCTCAAACATGGTTGTGTATTCTGTTCTTGGACTAAAATTATCTTTAAAAATAATAATAATATTGGGGCTACCTTTGGAACCAGCAATTCCATATGACTTTACATGACATGTTAGGAAATCCCCACAATCTGTATCTTTACCCTTCACATTTTCTAGCCTTCTGTCCACATCATAAGGTTTTTATGGTTGGGGCAAGAAACTGTTCCATGTCATGGCACTGTGTAGGTCCCCCACTTGAAGGAATGACTCTTCCTATATGATCTCTCCAAGCTTTAAGAGATCACTTGAAGAGGTTTGTCTACAGTTGCTGTGAACTTGTCTGGTGGTGAATCAAGATTAGGCCCTTTTGGTTGTTAACTCAGCTCTTTGGAATGCATGGCCTGCAATGTTGAGGAGCCTAGCATCTTTATCAACTTTTTAAAAATGCTTTTAATATATATATTGTAAAGTGATGATTGCCACTTTAACTGTTTTAATGACTTGATTTTAAAATTGTTTTATATTATAAAATGCTGAGACATCTTGATAGCCAGTGGGATACCATGTTAAATAAATACATGGTAAAATAGATCAGAGCCAGTTTGGTGTAGCGGTTAAGCTACCAAGCTAGAAATTTGGAATTCTAGTCCCATCTGAGGCATAAATCCAGTTGGGTGACCTTGGGCCAATCACTCTTAAGTCCTAGGAATCAGACAGTGACAAACTACTTCCAAAAAAAACCTTGCCAAGAAAACTGCAGAGACTAGTCTAGACAGTCACAGGGAATCAAAAAGCTGACCTGAAAGTGTAAACATAAAACACACACAAAAATCAAGTTGTATTTTTTTCACATTATTGAATTATTTAGCACATGTACTCCTATCTTCAATTTTACAATCTTTGAGAAAATATTTGTCCACTCGTATCAGAACTATGGATTATATTTGAAGTGTGGGTGAAAGGAAAAAGGAGGAAAAAGAAAGGAAAGGAAAGGAAAGGAAAGGATTTTTTTTCAAGGAGAAACAGGATAGTGTAGCATAGTGAGAGATTTTGATTTGTTTTGCTTGTATTGCTGGAGGTTAGAGTTCAGTAAAATACATATTTTAAGGGATTAAATCTACCAAAGAATTTGATGTTCTATTTCTGATTTTATTTTACTTTTTAATGAATAATCACACCTAGCCTGGCTTGCCATCAAATTTTGATAGCATGATTTTGGGGACTCTCAAGGGCCACAAAAATTGTCCAGTATCTGTGAATTGCCCACCTTAGGCTAAAACAGGCTAAAATGAATAAACATTTGCTTTATATTTGATTCACAGTGGGTGGGTCTTTATTCCTTATCCATTAATGAACATATTTCATTCTTTTATTTCAGGAACTTGAGAGGCTAGAAGTAGAGAGAGTGGAAATGATTCGGCAGCACCTTTGCCAATATACACAGTTACGACACGAGACAGACATGTTCAACCAAAGTGTGAGTCTACTTATCTTGGAATCCTTTCTCATACTGTGCTTCCGCAAGCTTTATAGAAATCTGAAAACCTATGTAGAATCCTCTACATCTGCTAAAGTATATGATTGTATAACAACAGATAACTCAGCTCTCCTAATAAGTACTGTTTACTTTGAGTCAGGATCAGTCACTTGGAACCCTTGAAATGAGATTCTTGACAGTGTAAGGTCAGGATTCAAGACCCACATTGGAAGTTGGCATTTATAATCCCTAATTCTATAAAGTTAAACATGAAAGAGTAGACCTGCATATTGAAGAAGAAAAATAAATAAACTCATGTGTACTGTATTCTACCAGGCATTCATTTGTAGATGTTGGGAAACAACGATGTGGCTATTGTGTTTTTCAGACAGTGGAACCTGTGGATCAGTTGCTTCAGAAAGTGGATCCAGCCAAAGACAGAGAACTGTGGGTAAAAGAACACAAAACCGGTAACATCAGACCTGTGGATATGGAGATATAGACTTCTGTGACCAGGTGGGCTTTTGAGTCCACCCAGTTCGAGGGAATTCCATAAAGCTTCAAGAGGAGGAACAGGAGAGATGTTCCACTGTCAGCTTCCGTATCTATTTATTATTGTCTGTAGGGACTATTTCTGTCATGTTTGATCATTATTCCATTCCTATAGTGCTATGCCTTAAACATCCAACATTCCAGGGTTGAGAAGCTACTCTTTTTCCTTCTTTTTGAAACTGGCTCCTAGCAGCCAAGCACGTGCAGCTCCCATTATCAATGGCTGGGTCTGTTTGCTGGTACAAAAAGAATCTTGCTATTCTGTGGTTATCTATTTTGTGCTACTCCCCTTGCATGATGCTCTGTTTTGTAATGTAACGTTAAGACACAAATAAGGCTGTGCCAAACATATGGACGGATAAGTTTGAATGTGATTCTGGAAGCAGGGGTATCCTCTGAATGTTCCCACTGAATTAGGTGGGAGTGGGGAGGTGGTTTTAAATCCCCACCTCCTCTCTCATCTACACTTTATGAAATGGACTTCATAATGCTTACCTACTTCACAGGGATGTTGTGAGGATAATATCTGTGGAGTATTATGTTTTAATAACCATTGTCTCCTACAACTGCAAATGCTATTGCAAGGCTACAGTGAAAAGGCTTTTTTTTTGAGTAAAGAAAATGAGGCCATGGGTCAAGAGACAATGTACCCAAAGAAAACCGCTTGGGTTGGCCCTCTTTTATACTGTCTCTCAGGTACTTACTGGCTGCAGTCCTCAAGCTGCTTGTGATCTTTTGACTTCTCCGGGACCTGCAGAAACGATCAGAGAATTGGAACCATTGACCCCCCCCAATAGAAAAAGAGCACTTTCAAGACACAGTTGCCTCTTATCATGGGTGCTCCAAGAGCCTTTGGAAGAGTGTAAGAAACCAAATTCAAAGTGTATCTCAATCTGCAAAGTAACCTTCGTGAGGGTTTAGATTACTTAGAGGCTAGGATCTTGCCCCTTTCAACATGTCTTCCCTGATTTTCAATTTTGTGCTCAAGTCTCAGAGATCTCAGCAAAATTCAAGTGAGAACTTGGGTTTGGGGAAAGATTTTGCAAGCCTTTGGCTCTTGAGTTCCCACACTTCTGGCAGCTATTTTAAAAAAAAAGTGTTTTATTTTATAATGGAGTTTAGGCCATATTAAGTCTCATTATAAAACTATCAGATGGTCAAAAATCAGCACAAGTGAGTTAAGAAGTGACTATATTAATCCAGCCAAAGATGCATTATACAGCTAGATATTTTCAGAAGTGCAGCTATTTATGATGGTACTACAAAGCCTTACCAATTGATCCTGAGCTCCTTATTTCAGAAACTGTTGGGAGAAAACCACCATGTTCTTTGTTCCCCTCCTGTTTTCATTTGTCTTGCAATGGTGTTTGTATAGCACAAATATTTGCTTCAAGTATCAGAGCTTTCACTTTTTTTTGTACTGCCAAGTATTTTGTTTGAACATGTGTCACAAACATCTTCTCTTCATTTCTTCATTTCTTAAATCTTTTTTTTTCCTGGAATGCATTTGTCAGTTTTTTTGACCAGACTTGCCATCAGCACTATAACTCTTGTCCTTTCTGCTTTCAAAGTAATGGTTTTAACTTAAACTACAGAGATGTAATATAGATAACCTGAGCCTCTTGGTGTTTTTTTTTTTAAAAAAAAACATATAGGAGAAAGTTTGGGATAAGAGATGGCATTGTTTTCCTGGATTATTTGATACTTACATTATTAAATACGGTATGGAGAAAACTGGCACACAAGCTATTTTAATTAATTACAGCTCCAATTTGCTCTCATTTGATTGATTATTTCTTCCCTTCCCTTCCCTTGCTTTTCCTTCCTTTTCAGTTGGCTTTCTGTTATCAACAAAATCCTCTTTTTCCATTTCTAAGGGCATCACAGGTTTTTAATAAAAATATATATTTTGTCTTTTTCCCAAGAAGCTGACTGTCAAGATTTGCAAAAACTACAATTTATCCTGCTGGTATGTGTGAGTACATTAAGGTCTGGATCAAAAACAATATAAAAAGAATTCAGTTCCTTTCCTGTTTTGAAGCTTGGGATATTTCAGTATTCCTTGCAATCTTTCTCTGACTGTTTTCAGAACTTCCTTCAGTTGTTGCCCATTGATTTCTGGGTTTTTTCTGTTTTCCATACTGGACATTGTTTAACTATATGTTATTTTGATAAAATGGATTGCAAATTGTTTGTACATTCCACTCCAACTTTCTTCACCATCATAAAGCAAACTGCTCATATTACAAAAATTGCTCTTTCCAAATTATATTTTAAGATTCTGCTTCAATTAAATCTGACTGAATTTAAAATATCTATCTTATTTTTCTAGATAAAAAGTACTCAAAGCACCTTATTTGTAAATGTAAAACATTGCCTGGATCATTTGATTTTCATGTGTCTGTTGCTTTCTACCAACTAAGAATTGTCTCTTTTTTGTTTTGTTTTGTTTTTCTATATCTTTCACAATTATCTTACCCATTACTTTGCTTTTCTCTTTTCTTATTTTACTGAAAGCTCCAGTGATCAGTGATGACAAAATATGATTTGATTGCAGAAAAATCCCCAAGATTTTACAGAAGCTTGTAAATAGATTCCTAGGTCTCTTGCTGTAATTATTTCAAACAGTACAAGGCATTTCCTTGACTGTCTTAATCTATGTTTCCTTTCAAGTTCTACGTTTCTTTTAAACATTATAATTTTATGTGAAGGATGAAAATACATATTGTTCACCAGACTCCTTTTTATGTTCCCCAGGGTTTGGGTGAAAAGATTGGAACCATTTCTATGTCTTTTGGGGACTTACGCTACTAAGGGCCAAAATCAGGGTTGTAAGCCTTGCAATTGCTTAAGATGCTAATTTCACCACTTAAAATTCCTGAGGCCACCATGGTCTCAGTATGTTTTTTGAGTTCAGCCCTCAATGTGTCATGAGAGCTCAGTTGCTCTCAGTCTCATGGAAGCTGCACCCAGTGGTGGGATTCGGTTCTCTGTGTGGATGCCGCTTCCAGAAGTCTGTTCTGGGCCTGGGCAACAAAAAATTAGCTACTGGTTCTGCTGAACTGGTGCGAACTGGCTGAATCCCACCATTGGCCGCACCCCTCAGATAGCAACCCCATGCAGTCTATGGTATTTGTGCAGGGATTCCTGCACGGCCATGATGAATATAACCAGAAGGTCATAAGTGAGAGAGCAGGGTCTACTTAAAACACCTGTCGTTTGGGATCCGTCACAGGTAATCTTCCATTTATGTCCACAACTGAGCCCAACATTTCTCTTGCTAAGCGAGACATTTGTTGAGTTTTGCTTCATTTTATGACCTTTCTTGCCACATGTGTTAAGTGAAACACTGCATTTGTTAAGTTAGTAGCACGGTTGCTAAGTGAATCTGGCTTCCCCATTGACTTTGCTTGTCAGAAGGTCACAAAAGTCGATCACGTGACCTCAGGATACAGCCACCGTTATAAATATGAGCCAGTTGCCAAGCATCTGAATTTTGATCACACGGCCATAGGGATGCTGCAACTGTTGTTGAGTGTGAAAAACGGTCATAGGTCACTTTTTTCAGTGCCATTGTAACTTTGAACTGTCACTAAATGAACACCTGCAATTATTTGAGGGGAAGTGATGACCAATCCCTTTGTTTTAGCTTGGTAGAAGTCTTTTTGCCAACTTCTTCAGAAGCATTGACCTTTCAAATTTATTTGGCCCATCACACTCAAATCACTGGTGCTACCTTTAGTATTCTTCCTCCGTTCCTTTTTTCTAGGACAAAACATAACTCACTTGAATGTTCTTGTTGAAGTTTTCTTTCACCATGGAAAGCAGTTGTGGGTGAAACCTGCATATTTTCTCTTAAGCTTTGCTCTTTGGAACATTCCACTGCTCCCTTGCTTTCTGATTTGTGTTTTGGACTGGTGATATGTCTACATCTAGACTTCCCTGGCTCCAAAACGTAAAATGAGAAAGCCCATATATTAGGAATGCAGAGGGAGGAGAGGATTAGCGTGTCAGACCTACGAGACTCTTTTTCTGTTTTTGAAGTTCAACACCTCACTGCCTTTTAAATATGCCTGTTGTTATTATTACCCTTTTATATTGCAATGGATTTGCCATTGGTTTTTTTTTTCCTTTGCAACTCTTACTCACTGCATTCCTGTTTCATGACATTTTGGTATGACTTACAATTGTGGGATGATTTGCAAGTGTACTTTGTGCCTTTTGCTTCCCGGACTGTTTATATCAGTTCATATTTAGCTTGGATGTTCATCAGATTAGCCAGACATTTACAACCTGATTTTGTTTAATGTGGTTTCTAGCCACTTAATCTCTCTTAATTACATGGCTCCCATTCCTTAAGCAGTCCCAATGCTCAAGATTTCATTTATTCTCCTTTCAGGATTCTCAAGGAAGATGGTCATGTTTTGTGAAATTTTCTTTCTAACCAATATCTTGAGAAAAAGTATTTTAGAGAGAAAAATATTAAGAGAGAATTACATTTTTTGCAAAGGAAGCACTTGGATGACTGAAATAGAATTGCGATATTTGGGATATTTTTAGTTCCATGTCAGCTTAGAGATAAATGCAAGCATAGATCACTGGTGTAATGTAATACGAAGGGCTCCTTGTTTAATATTGTGTATATGCCATTCTATTCCCCCTCTCATCATGATTACCTGTTCACTGAGCATAGTCTATTCTCATTAAGCTATTGGGAGGGTTCCTTCCCCAAGGTTTGCTATAAATATCTTTGCACTTTTACAAACTTTGAGGCTCCTGTGAATCTCTTATTACTTAATCAGAATAGAGATGGAAGGGACCTCGGAGGTCTTTTAGTCCAACCCCCATCTACCATTTCAGATAGATGGCTGTCCAGTATTTTCTTAAAAACCTCCAGCGATGGAGCACCCACGATTTCTGAAGGCTGAAGCTGTTCCACTGGTTAATTGTCCTCACTGTTAGGAAGTTTCTCCTT